GGGGAATTTATTGAGAGTCTTTAAGCCCGGGCACTCCGCACCAATACCAATGCCGAAACCAGTGCGGATGGTAATTCAAATAGCTCACACAGACACTCGCACACACACTTAGCAATGGCCAAAGCTACTCAATTGTAATGGCCGCTGGCATAAAATAAAGCTCACAACGAGCAACGCCCAGAAAGGGGCCACGCCCACAAGGCCAACCAACACCTTTTTTATGCGTTTTCATTTGCGAAGCGTAGGAAATATCTTGCCCACGGGGCGTATTAAAATCAATTCATTTAATTTTGATCAAAGCGAAATAAATCTTTGCGCTTTTTGCTTAATTTCCTACGTTTTCCGTGGGGGGGAAAATGGTGGAAAATCCACAACAACGTCAGTGAGTAATTTGTGTGCGTCTGTGTGTCTGTGCAAGCAAAGTAAGACAAAAAGCACAAGTAACAGAGAAATTCCGTAAGCGAAATGAGAAATCATTAGTAAGTAAAAAGCTTGTCAGTGTGTGTGTGTGTGTGGGAGTACAAACACAGACGAAGCGAAGATAAAGACACACATAAAAGGAAAGCGGCGTGTAAAAGTTTTTCCAGCTCCCTGTACTTTTCCTTATCAATGCCAGCGACGGCAACTGAATTAATTTTTCAATTCGCCAAACGAATTCATTGACTTTTTGTGTTCACGTTCACCCATACACCCACAAGCCCATTCACCCTTTCACCCATACACCCGCACAACCAGCTCCTTGCTCACACACACACAGTCAAAGATACTGATGCAGACTCCACGTTCCTGCTGGGGTATTAAAATCCTTTAAACAGATTTCATTTCGAACGCTTTGCGGTCGATAAATGCATTTCACTTTGGTGGTTTTTTACCCACACAAACTTGCACACACACACAGTGTACCGTATTACGTACGCTTTCTCCTGTACATGTGTGAGTGTTTCATTTGGCATTGCATACTTTTCGGCTGCTGCTATCCTTTTCAGTTATTCCGCCTTCGCAGCTGACTCTTTCCAATGATTTGCTGGCAAATTACTTTGAGGTGTTGCCTGCTGTCTCTCGCCTCACTTTGCCACTTTTCCTCGCTCTCCCCAGGCTTTCCCTCTCCTGCTGTACAAAAATTGCCAAATTCATTTCCAAAACAAACATTTAGTATGTGTTTTTGTCCGTATGCGGGTGTGTGTGTGTGTGTGTTAGTATGCCTGTGTATATGTTAGCTGCAAGTGTTGCCAACCAATTTAAAAGTTTTGCTGTCGCCTTTGCCTGAGCGAAAGTAAAGCGCGCTCTCGCCGTTGTTGTTGCATCATTTGGGGGCAAGCAAAAACAGCCAAGAGCAGGCGGATCACAGCCAGATGGAGATAATACAGCGCCATACAGTGGAAATTATCTAAGGAAAATTCTATCTCGATTGGGTCAGAGAAAAAGGTGCTTTCCATCACCTCAACAAAGTCTTCAAAAATAAAATGAATTGCAATATAGTTCCCTGGGATTCTTAATATTTTTGATCATTGTATTCAAAAGGTTTCCATTGTTTTAGGCACTGGTATTTGAAATTAAATATTCAATAACCTTAGTATTTTAGATTCACTCTTAAGGTGCCAAAATGTATGCAACAATATTTTAAACACGACAGTATCAACATACTGTTTTCTATAGTCAACATTTTGCATCTTTTTAACCACTTTTATTTATGATACTAAAAATGTAGTGAGAAATATTAAGGATTATTAGATAAAACCGGAATATAATTTAATTTTAGATGACCAAAAGAAATAAAACTGCCATAGTTTACCAAGTGATTTTAGGTATCCCTATCTTGCACACCATTCTAGTTTGATACTTCATCGTTCTCTTTATAGATAAAGATTAAAAACATTTTTTTGGGCTTAAATCAGTTATTGGTATATATATAACTTCTAAGCTACAAAAATTTTGGCTAAAACAATGTTTTTCTTGTTTCGTTAACAGCATCCTAAAGAAAAGGTATGGAAATTGCAACTGGCTTAGAACAACCTAAATTTAAGGTGGGCTCTTCAGCATATGGGCAATCTTTTAGGGGTAACTGCCACTGTAGTTGGCCATTATGGAGGCTGATGCTGTTGTGATGCTCTGGATCTGGATGGTCTGCTTCCACAGCCAACTACTGTGGCACTTGTTGGCTTGGCTGCTGCTGTTGCAGTTGCGACACTTGAGAAACTCGCAGTCGCTGTTTGTTTTTGCAACAGCGGCGTGTAGGTGTAACCCGCCTCCTCTTTTAGCTCTGTGTGTGTGTAAGTGCTGCTCGAAAGTTCATGCACCGTGTGCCACTGCAGCTGTGTGTCTGTGTGGGTGTGCTCTGTGTGTCCTTACTGCATATATAAATTTATATGCATGTGCCTGTTACGCTCTGCTCCTTTCGGTTTGCCGGCAGTTTGGCCGACTCTCTTGCATTTGAATTGGAAATTCAGCGGCGTGCTTAATTTTCAATTTGCAATCATTTGGCCTGGTAATCAATGTTTGCTTTGTCGGTGTGCGGTTGTCGACTTTTTCTAGTCCTCTGCTAATTAGTAACTAAGTGTGGCTCATCACAAAGTCAATTGTCCCTCTTGCCTTTTCCGTTTTTGATTCTTTTCAGTGGGTAACCAGTGGGGTATTTGCTGAACTTTTTGAGATTAAGTGGTAACTCTTTTATCATTTATAAAGTTGAGTTTTCCAAGCAAACTATATCCTTTTCAGATTAACAATATTTAAATTGGGTAGCACAATTAAAAAAATGCAGAAAGAATTTAATATTAAAAATTCCAGTTTGATTTTTTACTGCCAAGTTAAATATCAAAGACAAGGTTATGCAAATTTTCAATTGGCAACCACTTGCCTTTTTTCGATATGTGGTTATCTACTTTTTCTATAACCCTGCTAATTAGCAACTAAGTGTGGATCATCGCCGAGTCAATTGTCCTGGAAATGACTATCCATGTATTTTTTTTTTGTGCTGGTTAACCACTAGCGAATTTGCCCCACTTTCGCACTCATTTCCCGGGGTTTTCCCCCAACGACTGGATTTCCCGGACTTCTAGTAAGCCGCCCAGCATTAAGCCAACTTACACAATGGCCGGAACCGCCAGACTCTTCACTTTCGCCCCGGCTCCTATTTATGTGCCCTGCCTTGTGTTGTCTTGTCTAGTAATTTTCTCACACTTTCCAGCCGCTCATCAACGCTCCGTCGGCCAAAGGGAAAGGCAAACTTCGCAGACTCAAGTGTGGAAATTTTCACTTTTTTGCCATAATTAAATTCATTTTCAAGTTGCTCTTGCTGGCTTTCGACTCGACGACTCAACGAGATGCCACACCGAGGCACACTCAACTTTTCACTATTTTTCACTCGTCCTAGTAGTAGACATTTTCCATTTTTCATTACAGTCCAAAGTCGGGCCGCCCGGCTTTTCCTCGTTTCATTTTCATGCAGCTTCCTGTGCCGTTGTTTCCGGTTTCATGCCTGCCAGTGTCTATTTGTGTATAGTTTTTGCCATTAGCAACCGTTGTCGGGCTCAGAGGGTTAAGGGGGTGGCCAACAAATTGGAGAATAGTCCCAGTTTCAATCCCTATCCCTGCCTTTGTTTCCAAGTTTCGGCTTAAGTTGTTTTTAAGTTGTAAATCTCTACGGGCATGCAATTTCCCCTGCCCGCCCGTTGGGCTGTATCAAATTTTTCATTTGTGGTTAAAAATATGAAAATTGTAACTGATATTTATGCTTGTAATGCCTACGCTTGACATTTTCAGCCCCCTAGGGCTGGTGTCCACAATAATTCATCTCCGAAATGCGTGTTCGAGTTTTGTTATTTGTCGGATTACGTGTGCGAATTCGGCCTCCTGGAATCTGACTCATTCAAAACTGGCCGAAAGTGATACTTGTGCTTTATTGGAATTTTTGAAATCTACCTCCTTGACTTCCGACTGTCTGGGATACGTTTAATTGAATGTGTTGCCAGGATGATTTTGGCCATGTGACGCATACGAAATTTCTATAAATATGAAATACTTTATCGTGCCTGGGGTGGTTTTTGGTTTGAATTTTAATTGTTCAGACACTGATTTGAATACATAAGCTGCTGTCTTTTCAGAGGCTGGCTTATTGATGTTTTTGCTTAAAGCTTTGGTTCTATTGGCTAAAAGTCTCCGCAATTTAATTGGTGCTTTATTTTTAAATTGCAATATTCATTTTTATTTCCTATTTATAAGTTGCAAAACAAAATTCCATTTAGCTAGAAAAAATATGCACACAATAAAATACGTTTCAGCACAAACAGCATTTTATTAAGATCCAACTAATACGATAAATTACGTTTTTGCCATGGCCGTGTTTGAATGATTTGCTAACTTTTTAAGCCTTCACAAATCCTTGGCTGAGAATGAAATGCAATTATATTGCAAAATAAAATTCATTCAATTAAATCCTAGCTGAAAGCCAATCTGAATACGTTTAGAATTGCAAATGACTGTGCTGACGTTTTTTTAAATTAATCTAATACTTGATTTATTTGCTTTTTACATAGTATTTAATTGTTTTGCGCTTTTTCAGAGTTCGGCTTTAAAGTTCTTGTTAGTGAAATGAATTTATGGGAAAATAATTTTTCACTTTTTAAAGGATGGCGGGGTACTGTCCTTACTGTTTTATGTTAATTATACCCTTAAGGGGAATACATTAAAGTGTTCTTAGATTTATTTTAACCTAAACTAATATATAAACCTGTAACTAATTTTTCTACTTTCCATAACTTTAACTCGACCTACCCATAAATTAAATTAAATATTGATATTTCTACAAGGACTATTATTGATGTAAAAAATTCCCCCACAATAAAACGGAGATGGTTGTCTGCTGCATTCGAAACACGTCTCAGGGGCAAAATGGCAGCGACATTTCTCAATTTATGCAACACCTTTTGCCGGTGGAAATGGCGCCCAAACAGAGGACGTTCAACTCGTCCAACGGAAAACTCGCTTTTCCACTCACCTGGCTTGGAGTTGCTGCCCACGAGCTGCTGCTGCTGCTGTTGCTGCTGCTGCGACATTTGCTGCTGCTGCGAGTGCTGCTGCTGGCCATTGTGCTGCAAATGGGCGGCTGTCACCGACTGCTGCTGCTGCTGCTGTTGCTGCTGGGCGGCTGCTGCGGCCGCTGCTGCGGGATGGATGGCCAGCAGCTTCGTTTCCGGGGGCTTGTGCGGACCCATTGTGATCTGCGGGGCACCCATGGCTATGGTCGGGGCTGGCATCATCAGGGTCGACATGGTCAGCATTATTTGCGAGTGAATTTTGGTCGCTAAACTTGAAACTGGACTCGGGGATGGGGATGCAGTTGCGGTGCCTTTGTTTCTCTATTGATTCGCTGACCCCTCCGCTGGATCTGAACTCGGTGCCAAAGGTCGTGCGTTAGCCTTTGTCGCCAGCTTTCTCTGGCTCTCGCCTGTGTTTTCTGTGTTCTGTATGAAATATGCTCTCGCCTCAACTCTCCTTTATGTATTTTCACTTTTCGTGCTGGCTGGCTTTACTCCTCTTTATATACTACATATATATATATATATATTTATTGGCATAAGTATGGGGCATGTGGAATTTCGTATATTTTTTTTTTTATATTCCGCCTTTCCTTTATGTTTCGCTTATGTGTTTGTTCAACCGGAAATACACGAACTCAAGCGCACTTGGCTTGTAATATCGTTTCAGGGATTTCCTTCGCCTTCTGCCTGCCAGTAATCGCAAATTATTCTTTCTTTTCTGTGGTGTCTGCTGGCAGCGGAAATTATAAATATTCCTGTCATGCGAGTAGTACTACGAGTTCTGTGCCTCCCCAGACGTCTTCTGTTTTAATATCAATGTCTGGTATGTAAAATGTCAGGGGGCACAACCGGGAGGAGAAAAATGAAAATATAATAGAAAAATATGTGGGAAAACAACAGGGGATAATGCCAAACGAAAAAGTGAAGCCCTTCTCAGCCGGCTCAAAGTCGCTGGGAAAGTTTCAAGCAGCTGGCTGCAATGGCAATTATTTTGCCGGCAGTTTCTGGCTTTTTGTCGCGCGCGAATTTGCTGGCAACTTTAGAAGTCAGTGACTCCAGAAAAGAGTTGTGGGTGTGTGTACAAATAAATTAAGTAAACTTAAGCTGCTGAGATCGTTTAAAAACTATATATGCAGAAGCCCAGGCCCAGAATAATTTGCCATCACAGGCAAGGCAATCAGAAAGAAGTCTATGTTGCGAACTACGAACACGAACCAGGCAGACGAGATCAATCGCACACACAGGATATAATTTACAGGATATACAAAGCGTTCGGTATACGTTCGTACTAGACCGCTGGGCGACGCTTTTCTTACTGAACGCCAGGAGCACACGCATTGGCCAAAATTCGGAGGCGCTGCTGCCACTGCAACGACGGCAGAAAGGCTGCCGATTTTCCTGCTGCCGATTTTCCCGCTGCTGCTGCTGTGAAAATCGCTGCTCTGCCGCTCCCGCCACTGCCGCTGCCTCTGCCGCCGACGAGGACGACGACGTCGGGATGCGTTTCCCTACATTTCTCTTCGGCGGCCAGGACCTCGGCAATCGGCAGCACGAAGCTGGCTGCCATCGTTCATGAAATATTCACGAATGGCTCGCTCTCACTCGCGCCGCCTGTATCCCTGCTCCTTGCTGAATCCTGGCTCTCCGGCCCCCTTTCCGTCCCCCTCTTCATCCTCCGTCGCCAACTGGCTCGTTTCCTCGCTCCGGGCGCCATTCACAAGTTCGGCCGCCTCGTCCTTTTTGGTCCTTTCGGCTCCTTTCGTCGCAGAGCGCAGAATCCGAGCGGCCGAGAGGGCAGGCCTTTTCGAAAGCGCCAGCCACATTTGAAATTTCTGGAGAAAACTTTGTTTGGGGTTTTAAATTTTTTCCTTAACAAAAGTTTTACTAAAATATTTTCAAATTAATCTTAATAGTTTGCTTAATATATTTCTTTATAAATGTTTACCTTTTAATTTTTACCAAACCTATTATAAACGATTTTTATTGCTACCCATGGTCTTTCATTGAAGTTCGAAAATGTACTTTATCCTCCTTTTTAATCGAAAATCCCAGTATTTTTATGGCACGGCATTAAAACTGTTATACGTTTGACTGGCAAGGCGAATGTAAGGAACAAAACCTTTTGTTATTTTTGAATCCGTGAAAACCCAATTTAATTTATTAAATATTTAAAACTAAGAAAAATAATATTAACTGAAATTACAGATCACGATGTTCTTCTTGGTAAAAATTGTCCCGTTTAAATTTATTACATACTATAATAAAGTATAGGGATTTTTTATATGAATCCTAATTGTCGTTTACTACAAAACCTACATATAATTAAGAACAAACCCGATAAAGAAACTAGCTGCAAACTAAATGCTTTTTGCGGGTGTCAGTCTGGGCGCATTCAAATGTCAAACATTGTGAAGAGGGTAAGGATAAATCACAGCTTTAAAACAATGGCATTCAAGCCAAAGGGAGTCATCGGCAGACTGAGCTTCTTTTTTAAACAAAATACATAATACTACAGAGTCGCATGAGGTGAGTATATCTCCTTTTCTTGCCGATTTCCTTGCCTTAATTGTAGCCCTGGATCGTAATGCAAACAGGACACCGAAAAGGATGCAATTTCAGGTGCAGCTCCCCATTACTGCACTCACTTTATTCCTCGTTATTATTTCTTTTTTTGCGTTATTAACATACTTTCTCGTGTCGACAGCGGTGACAGGGACTGCGACCGAGACGTTGACGGTGTTTTGAGGTAATGTTGCAAAGAGCACTGCTCGAAAAAGTGTAAGGGCCGCCAACGAAATGGGAGAAGGGAAAAATACATAATTACATGTAATTTACCATGCGACATTATCATTGTTCTGCTCGTATTTAGCATAGAATCAACGTCGCACGGCACAGACGTCGAGTGTCCGTGGAATATCTCGTGCGGCGGACAACGGGTCCTGAATGTCCTTTGTCCTTGCTTCTCCACTCATATGGAACTACACGGAGAAAAAGGTAAAACATCTTCGAGTTCTCTAAATATTTACAGATTTAAACAAAATATGGTATGAAAAATGTTTGGATTTTTGTATACTTATATTTTGTATACCTAGATTTAAAAAGAATAGATTTTAAATTCATAGTTAAATTAAAGTTAAATAACTTTGTAACTTTTGATTAAGTTATGTTCTTTACATTCATGGACATTAAAATTGTATTTCCCTTAAAGCATAAGTACAGATTTCTCACACTCATTGATAAATACAATTACATAGATATTTCTAGTTCAAACCAAATAAACACATTAGTAACACTAATGACACTCAACAATATTTAAAAAATAATTGCTTCGATCCATTTATTTGTAAATCAAACTAATTGAGGGAGTCAGAAAATAAGAGCTCCAATAATGATCCTTTCAAAATAAGAAAATGCTACTTCTTATAATAATGCTACTTTGCGAGCAAGAAATAATGATTGAAAATTCGAACCTGATCGGCTTAGAGTTTCCCATTTTATATTTCTTTTCGTGTAGTATTGCATGTGCTTAAATGCAACAAAAACAGCAGCAACTTCACGTAATAACAAAAGTGAAGTAAACAATAAGAAGAGGCCGTTAGAGGAGCGATGCAAAAGACGAGTTTGCCGCTTTCCTTCTTATTTTCCCTCTCTCTCTGCATGTCCTTCCATGCACTTGTGTGTGTGATGACAATTGCCCTTTGAATTTTTTAAATCCCTTTAAATGAAAACAACAACAGGAATAGGAATCCCCCTGGCTTTTGGCCTTTTGTTCTTCGAGTTGCGCTTGTTAGGTAAATCAGCGCCAGAGTTTGTATGTGTATGGGTGGTGTCCTTTTGTGCTCTGGTGTGTGTGAGTGAGCCTTTGCAGCAACAACAGCGAGCAGAGAACAACAACAATATCATCGTGCGGAAAGTTATAACGTGCTTAAGCGTCTTTAGCTGAAATGAGGCTAAAAATATTTGCTTATAATGAAGTGCACGCCTGTGTTGGTGTGAGTGTGAGTGTGACCTGTGACCATGCACATGTACACCCATACATTCATTTGTTTGTTTGTTTGTTTGTCACTGTGTGTGTGTGTGTGTGGCGACATAACAATAGCGCATTCGGTACCATTGTTGTTGTTTCACTCGAGGAGGACCCATACACCCCTCTTATAAGCAGAAAATTAAGGCATTGTTAAAGCCAATTAGGGTATTTAGTCGAGATTCCCGTCGCAGAAAGCAGTGTGGACACAACACGGCGTATGCGTGATATTTCAGGGCAGATGGCAGCTGTCAAGGATAAAAGCGCGAAACCGAGGGGAAAACTTAATGGGCGTTTTCTTGGAAGACTATCAAAAGGGAAGATGCATTTGTGTCTTAATGAGATGCACAAAGAACAATATTTCAATAAAAAAAGTAAGTACACAACCAACTATTTGTCACCTTAAAATGTTTCATTGTAAGTGGAATAATATGATTTAATTCCTTAACCACTTCAACCCTATTTAATATAAAACAAATGCTTAAGAGGCTTTCCATTTATCGAACAAAAGCGCTTAAGTCTTTAAGGCCAAAGTTTTAAGTGCAAATTAATCGGGTTCGAGCCAAATCAAGCCCTGGGAAACTAAGCCACAACAAACATGCCACTTCTTGACATAACCAATTGCCTGGGCTGGAGCCAAATAGGTCGAATTCAGATCCTTTGAAGGACAATGGGATAGACCCGAAGCCAACATGAGCAAAAGTTGATGGCGGATCCTTTTGGGGCCAAAAGAACTAAGCACCTTTTGGGAGGACTTGCCACATTGATGGCTCAACAAGGAATTTGTGAATTTCGGGCAACCGAAAACTGCCACTAAATAAATACACGTTTTCGCAGGCTCAAGACGAGTAAGAACGGCCCCGAAATAAGTAAATTATTTATGCAGACCCTCTTTGGTCTTAGGTGCCACCTAATGGGGGTCACACTTGGAGATTTAAATTTTTAAATAGGTGTGTCAGATAATGAAAATAAGTACCCGACAGGGGAGTTTTCCAGCATCAGCACCACAGCTGGGAAAAGTACGAGCGTTTTCCGGGCTGCTGCGGTGTGTCACAGTTTTGTGTTTTTGTGTTTTCCCCCGCTTTTCCAAACTCCACTTTTCCTTCTGGCCTGCTGATGTGGACACGGCTTGTAGGCCGCCGCCATTTGCCTTTTAACTTGGCTAACGATAATTTGTTTGGCAACTGGCGGCGCTGCCGCTGCGTAATGAATTTTTATGCCCCTTTAATGTACTTTACGCAGATATGAAATTATGTGACCAAAGCGACCGAATTCAGTGCCCCGAGTTCAGAGCCCATCCCGTCATTTTGAGCTCTTTGCCCGGTCGAGCGACCGCCTGCCATGTTAATTATTAATATTTTTTAATTAAAATGTGCACTAGCCACGAAAACACAAACATGCCTGCTAGGCAAACACGAACTGGTGCTAAAAGCGTTCACAAAAAGCAAGTCAAACACAAATAAAATCTCACACACTGCCATAAAGGGAAATAAAGAATAAGCAAGCACTAAATCAACACAGAGTTCTGGTGGGGCAAAAAATTTTGGATTTAAAATGGAGCGACTGCCAGCTCGTCAGTCTGCGGTCTGCCAGATAAATCTCCAGTGGGTCTGCCTCTGAATCTGAATCCGAATTCGAGCCTGGATTGGGGCAGGAAAATGCCCGCATGAATTATCGCATTCAAATATAAAGCCTGCGCGGAGTCCTCTGGCCAAGAACGAGCCGTATTTTCTGCCCATGTGCTAGTGCGCCCAACTTAATGTAGCGCGAAATAACTCGAATAATTCAAATGTGAAACTGTAGCAAATCGTGGTGTTCATATATTCAGCCTGTCCCATTATGCATGACCAAATTATGACTGCCAATAATCAAGAGCGAAGGCGCGAACATTTACAGTCAGTTCTGCCGGCTAAAGAGTTACGCACCCTTCACTCGATTATATTTGGGTTTGGTTTATCGTGGCCATTAAACCGAAATGGTGTCTATAAGTAAAGGGCAACGAAAGGGAGTGAAGGATGTTCTGGGGAAAAGATATATTCAGTATTGAACTGTCTAAAGTGAACGATAAGTGTCTTTTATTCGTAATGAACCCACCGTGAGATTTAAAAGCTTAAAAGGATATTTAAAAATACCAGAACCCGTTAACAGTATAATTTAAGATATTGTATCTGAAAAATTAAATTGCATTTATGTAAAGTTTTGACACGTTGAATACTCTACTGTAGTTTGCCAAGAGTTTTTTTTTAAATGGAGTCAGTTAGTCGAAAATCAAGGATCTTAAC